ACCATGCAAAAACCATGCACAGACCATGCAAAAAACATGCACAGACCATGCAAAAACCATGCACAGACCATGCAAAAACCATGCACAGACCATGCAAAAATCATGCACAGACCATGCAAAAACCATGCACAGACCATGCAAAAACCATGCACAAACCATGCAAAAACCATGCACAGAACTTCAAAATTTCCAACGTTTCTCAAAACAACTTTTTTTGCATGAAATATTGATAATTTTAGCGCGTATTTCTTGAAATTTGAGTGTTTTCAAATGCAAAGAAGGCGTAATAATATAAATGTATAGGTACAGAACAGGTATGATATTACAAATATATAGACTGCTGTTTGTATCAAATTGTTTTCTTTTTTATACTCTGCAAAGATAAAAACTATCGATTTTTTCCATGTTGTTTACAGAGAAACGTCACAGCTGCCAAACCCCCCACCCCCCACCCCCAAACGAACATATGACGTTTCTCGTGGAAAAAATCGATATGTGAGGCTTCCCTTAGTCAAAAAAAAATGTACGACAAACCAACAAAATGGGCCTAATAAAGGGGGTAAGATAAGGGCGGTTGTAAGATATCTTATTACCGCCATGATAACATAGATATCTTATATAGTAAATACAGTTAAGAAATTAATATCACAATTGTGTATTAAGTTACACTAAATTACACTATAGTACTAGTATGTATTTATAATTTATAGGTATTAATAATAAAGCGTAATGTACCGAAAACCAAGAATACGGGTGAAACATAGCAGACAGTCCTCTGGGAATCTAACCCAGAGACCTAAAACCGTTACTCTGCGACACCATCTCGAAAATTGTCGTAGAAATGCAATTTTTTTCTTGCTAAAGGAAAGGCGTTTGTTGATTTTGTGGCCACGCAAAAATCTAAGGAATAGTTTGAACTTTTCCATATTTAAACCGAGTCCAGCAGTACGGTTTTAGGTCCCGGAACACGGGCACTGTTTTTGGTTTCGAGGGAAACCGGGCATCGCCCGGAGGAAAACCCTCCTAATGTTGGCTGAAATCTTATACCGGAGAAGATATATATTATATGGGAGAAGATGACCGGAGAAGCGAAGATGATAAATCGGAAGAAATGCAGCCGAAAGAATTTGTGTCAGCCCAAAAACCACAGCCATTGTCAGCCGGAACGATGCCGGATACTACAATATACTACTCTACTATTTGCGCAAACGTCGCCATATTGATACGGTCAAAAAATCGTCGTCAACCTTAAAGTTTTGCCGAATGCCCTGAATAAATAAGCTTCTGCTATCTCACGACCAGAGATTAAGCAACCATCTAGATGGGGTGTAAAAGTTAGTACACATACATATATCCCTGCTAGCACCGATTTTATTCACGGGGAGGGCAAAAATCCCGCTAGCAGGGATATTAAGAAAAATAATACATACTCACTTTCAAGACAAAAAAGATCTGTGGTATTATCGAAATATAATACCCGTCAGGGCAGAACGGACAAAACGCCCTAGCACGAAAAAGACGCGCGTAAAGATAAAAATTTGTATTGCATTTATTGGGTCAAAGCTTTTTTCTTCCCGCGCATTTTCCAAGCGTGGTACGCCAAAACAAGCTTCACAAATTGTGAACCAGGTTCCGTGCGCACGCCTAATCTGCGAGGCAGCGTCGTAGTTTTTCTTCTTTTTTTTTCATTTTTTTTGTCAACTTTTTTAGTACGTGTCCGTCTCCAGAACAAATTTTTGCAACTTGCGAATATTTGCCTGAAAACGTCGTTTATTTATAAATCTTAAGACGATATACGAATCCATACGAATTCGTGGAGAACTAACTACATTATTAGAATAAAGCGCGCAGACCTTATTAGCATATGCAGCGCACAACCAAGTTCACGAATACCATGTCCCCGCGCAGAAATTTGACGACGTGTTTCATAGTGGACAAAGTATTCATTAACCTAGCCGTTCCTGGCGACTTTCGCATGAAAACCAAACGCTATGCAAAGGTCTATTAAAAAACTACGCTTGGATTCCCGCGTCGAAGCGAAACAAGAAAAAAAAAATTCCAAATAAAATTAATTTTTTTGCAAAGTGTTTTTGACACACACGAAATAGCAGGTAAAATTTGAAGCATTTCTCTAAGTGCTCAGAAATTTAAGCGTAATTTTCCAACGGACCAAAACTCCAAAGAGTAAGACATACATATATTTCATTTTGAAATCGATGTAATGTACTTAGTGCTTTGAAGTTATATCATGCACAGACCATGCAAGAACCATGCACAGACCATGTAAAAACCATGCACAGACCATGCAAAAACCATGCACAGACCATGTAAAAACCATGCACAGACCATGTAAAAACCATGCACAGACCATGCAAAAACCATGCACAGACCATGCAAAAACCATGCGCAGACCATGCACAGACCATGCAAAAACCATGCAAAAACCATGCAAAAAACATGCAAAAACCATGCACAAACCATGCAAAAACCATGCACAGACCATGCAAAAACCATGCACAGACCATGCAAAAACCATGCACAGACCATGCAAAGAGCATGCACAGACCATGCAAAAACCATGCACAGACCATGCAAAAACCATGCACAGACCATGCACAGACCATGCAAAAACCATGCACAGACCATGTAAAAAACATGCACAGACCATGCAAGAACCATGCACAGACCATGCAAGAACCATGCAAAAACCATGCAAAAACCATGCAAAACTCATGCAAAAACCATGCAAATATCATGCACAGACCATGCAAAAATCATGCACAGACCATGCAAAACCATGCACAGACCATGCAAAAATCATGCCTAAAACCACGCACAGACCCATGCCAAGAACCACGCACAGGCTATGCCAAGAACCATGCACAGACCATGCAAGAACCATGCACAGACCATGCAAAAACAGACCATGCCAAAAACCATGCACAGACCAAGCGTCAAATTGGATCAGCTACGTTTAGACGCCGAGGAAACGAAACGAGTCGCAAAGTAAAAAACAAATAAACCTCATGAAATACCTCGCAAGTTTTAGACCATGTTTTAGCGCGCATGCGTCGCAACGTAGCCAACCCAAATATACCGGAATAAGAGCACCAGGATAATTAGTACCCAGAATCCCGGCTACGATAAATAGTAAATAGAACTACTTTACACAGGATTCTGAGCACGCGTTCTAATATGGCATCAAAAATACACGTTCAAAGATTTACCGGTAGTTAGTTGTCAAACCGTAATTTTACTCGTTGCGTCATCGTAGCCTCAGCGTCGTCTAGGGTCGGAAGTCGTCATCGGAGTTTCAGCAGTTGTCCAAGTTGATTGCCATGGGCACTCTTTCTTATGCAAATGCAAAGTTTCCGAAGAAACCGAGGTTGTCAACTCGAGTTTAGTCGTCAAACCGTAATTTTACTCGTTGCGTCATCGTAGCCTCAGCGTCGTCTAGGGTCGGATGTCGTCATCGGAGTTTCAGCAGTTGTCCAAGTTGATTGCCATGGGCACTCTTTCTTATGCAAATGCAAAGTTTCCGAAGAAACCGAGGTTGTCAACTCAAGTTGATTTCCACCAGAAGCTGGTCAAGTATTTATGCGTGCTGTCAGCAAGCGAGTCTGGGTACGAATACAGATATCTAAGCAAGAACGTCAGTAGTGTTTTAAAGCAGTTAGACCGCGTTGAGGAATGGATACTGAAACAATTCTGGCAAAACGCTTGGACGAAGAACGGAAGGCCGAATCCTGCATACAAGTTCTCAGTATTCTAAAGGTTACGGTAGTTGTAGGTCTGTGTGAGCAGTCCAGTAATTTTCCAGCTCAGTTTCTGCAACTGGAGCATGCGCAGAACGATGGATAGCGATATCGATTTCCCGAGGTTTCCGGTTGAAATGCCCCTTCCACCAGACTCAAACAAAAAGCACGCGTATAGGAAGGCGCCTTTCCAACGTACTTCTCCATCAAATCTGAGGGCAGGGACAACTCGCGGGAAATCAAGTGAAATCAACATCGCTATCGACCGTTTCGCGCATGCTGTAGTTGTAAAAACTGGGCTGGAAAATCACTGGAACGCTCACACAGACCTACACTGCCGCAAGCTTCAGATCACTGAGAATTTGTACACAGGATTTGGCATTTCGTTCTTCGTCCAAGTGTTTTGCTAGAATGTTTTCAGCATTCATACCGCATTGAAGTCTGACTACCTCAAATCACTGCTGACGTCGCCACTTAGGAGACTATATTCGAAAAACCCTGCAGTGTTTAATAATCCGGAGTACTCTGTAAATTTGTATAGAGTTCGTTTCAATCTGGAGTATACTCAGAGACAATCTGCGATGCTCGACTAAATCCGGGCTGCCCTGTGTAAATTTGTTGTGTTCACTTAAATCTGGATTACCCAGAGACAATCTGTGGTGTTTGTTTAAATGTGGATTACCAGAGACACTCTGCGATGTTTGAGAAATTCTGGAGCACCCGGTGCAAACCTATTTCATTACTGAAGCTCTGGGAAAATACTAGAGCCATCAAACTCGTTAGCTTACGCCAATTTGCATTCGCATTCGTAAGAGACATCCATCATAAAGGCTTCCGTTTTCTAAGAAACAAAATGAAACAAATAAGTTTAGTACATTTGAGTGGTTAAGACTTAACTAAACTATTAACTTTCTAGAGGGTCATATAAATACATAGAACACAATACAATACCTTCTGAATCTTCATCCACCATTAATCTTCTTCTTTTCCATAGTGCTCCACATTGAGCGGTGACAAAAATAAAATGTGCGAACATGTTTTGGGGCAGATACTGAGGGGGACTGGCTAAGCGTTTATCTCACGCATCGAGTCCTAACTAGCTCAATCTGACGAGGTCATCACGCTCGTTTGTCATATCATCCTAAACTAGCCCTATAGGGAGTCCTAAACATGTTTCCAGACACTTAAATTTTGGATGATGTGCGAGTTTTGAAATGAAGGCAGGCGAGCGGGGCTCTTCTCGTCTCCTTGTCTCTGAAATCTTGCGTCCTGGCGACGACTGAGTATGAAAAAAGACGGGCTCAAAAATAAAAATGTGCAGGTAAAAAATCCTTGTCCGCCCAAGCGCGGGTTTTCTCCTTCCAACCTGAAAAGTAAGATGAAATAAATTGTCAATTAAAATACAATTATCAATGATGCTTTAAAAGTGACGCCAATATTTACAGCAATATATGTAAGCCAAACTACTGAACTTCAGACGTAATTTTCGCTTTGGCATACCATTAATTTAAAATCTCTTCATTTTTATGAATTTTATCATTATTTTGCACACAAAGCAAGCATGCACAAGTTCGCTTGCATGCCAATTGAGAAACGTGTCGAAAAATTTCGTCGAAAAACGATTACAAAAATTTTCAATGTATCAGAATTGGTTTTGAGCGCGTGTTATGTTAATAACAAAAAATTATTACGTAAGGCATGTGCAGAAATACATAACACGCCTGTGTGTTACGACAGGAATTCGGAGTACCCGGATTAAACTGGAATAATTATTCTCACACGCGATTGAGGCGGAAAATATCATGACTTATATGCATTAAATAGTACTTACTCATGCATGTTGAAAGGGTTATCATTTTTGCGGGTCATTTTACTTCATTAAATTTTGCACCTGAAAGAAAAATGAAAAACACATCAATAATTGAACGCGTATACTTGTATGGAAGCATTTTACGGGTAAAATTCAGCATTGATATTTAGTAGAATTAAACAAAATTCGCTTCAGAATTGTTAATAAGCGAACGGCTAGCTATTTTAGAACAAAACTCTTAGTCTAATTGCAACATAAGCTTTAAGAGATAGTAAATTAATTTGAGAATTTTCTACTAAGAAGTCTCAAAAATATCGTACAAAATTGTGGACAAACTGTACAAGTATACAACCAAATCGTTTCAGTAAAGCATACCGCTTTCATTTTGGGTATTATCTTGAGCAAAAGTGGACCAAAATTTAAACTAAAAGGACCCGAAATCTATCAGAATATTCAGTTAACAATTCTTAAAAGTAAGCGTTAATTCTATTTTAGGACAAATATTCAAATACTATTACAAAAATATACCTGGTTTTATATCCCCGCATGGCTTCGCGGCCAGTCTACGACTTGAGTGAATTTCTCGCAGAACTTTCTGGCCTGAAATTGGAAGAAAAATATAAGTTATATAGGAAGACAAAATACAAGTATTCTCAAGTTTAATGCCACAACATTTTATCGAAAACGTTAAGAAATAGCCAAAAGTTTGAAAGCGCGTATAGTACAATACACGTGGCGACCAGCCATGCGTAAATTACTTGACTTGCAAAATCTGAACTTGCAAACCGTTCATGAATTTAGTCGCGTTTCAAAAACATATACAAGTCGCCCTTCGACCGACAAAGAATAAAGCAAATTCACAGTAAAAGAGTAAGATTCTTACCTTAAATTTAGCTTGATTTAACAGCGATCTTTTGAGACAAACTTCTCTCTTTGAGTACTTGTGCAAATGTATAGCTTGGTGCCCCGAAGCGAAATTTTAAAATTGCCTCGCACGCGAAAACACGCCCAGTTACACAAACACTCCCCGTCGTGATTGGCTGAGCTAAGCAAACGGGCTTGCTGATTGGCCGAAGACAAAATACAGATTGGTTGTAATCCCTCGGGGAACATTACAATAAGGAATGGCTGTTAATTTGAAATTCTTTGGACATTCATGTTTACAAGTTAATGCCTGGTTCACACTGGTCGTAATTCGTCGGCAATCTATTGTATTCTTTTCCGACGAAAGAAATTTCGTTGAAAGATGGAATGTTCCATTCAACTCGGTTGTCCCCTCGTTGAATGGAACCGATTCCATCTTTCACCTCATGAAAATATTCTTACCATTGCACTCATAAACATTCATTATTTGTATAGTAATAAATGGTGACGATTTGCCTACAAGTGATGAACTACATCTGATACAAGTATTTATTGAAGACGTTCTACGGGGTGTATAAAAAAAAACGCAACCTCGGAATTTCCCAAGAAATCGACATTATTTTAAGGACAAAAGATTTTAGATGCCTGGGAATTTAAAATAGCACAACTGTCAAAATTACTGCACACGCGAGTGCATAAAACAAAATTTATGCATTTATTTAATGACACTTAATAGTTTTTATTTTACAAGTACAGTACAGCAACAGTAATATGATCTATTAGCAATTCCATTTCAATCCCCAGGGGCCTACCGGGAAATTCCGAGGTTGCGTTTTTTTTATACACCCTGTTCCCTGTATGTATTTTAAAGACAATTAATCCTCGTCCCCAGGCCCAAGCTCGGGCGGCCTTCAAGGTCGAGATTTCGACAATACATAGATCGCGCGAAAGACTGGGTCCAGTGGACTCTGGAGAAACCATACCTTAGCTCAATAACTCGGCCAATGGAATGGGCACGAAAATGTGGCGACGTCAAGATTAGTGTGCTGCCTCCCTAAGTGGACGCAGCAAATACACAGCACACCTATCCATACCTGTCAAAACCCAGAAAAGTAAAAAATCTTGAAACTTTCAGAAAATTGTTGAAAACCATTTCTCTCATCAAAACAGTTAGTTTCGACTATTAAAAACATGTTTTAAAACATTTTGGTAAAATGCAACTCAGGGGACCACGGGCATCCCTAGGGCGATCAAAAGGGACCACAGGACGTTTTTTAAAAATTCAAAAAGTGGCCCAAACCACTCCAAACTTTCTGAAAATTGTCGAAAAGCATTTCTCTCATCAAAACAGTTTAATAGTTTCGACTGATAAAATTTTTCAAAAATTCCATAACAAGCCCAACCCTTTCTAAACATTGTCAAAAACCATTTTTCTCACAACACAATTACTTTCGGCTACAGGCAACATTTTAAGGTTCTTCCAACTGTTGCAGCGATTGTTCAACTCAATCTCCAGCAAATGTGATAAAATGGATTTAATACTAAAATCTACAATCTTTATGGTAGTTTACAGTGCTTTATGGTATATAGTTTATAGTGTTTACATTACAAATAAATGACCAAACTGGAAAATGGGTTATTTTTACGTTTAAATTTAATACAATACTAATTGATATTTAAACCGTATGTCCAGTAGAAATTTCAGGAAACAAGTAAAAATACATATAGGTAACATTGTGGAAATGTTTGAGTATTTCAAGATTGTTTCACCCAATTTGAAGTTTGGCATTATTTATTTATTTTGATATTCCTACTTTAAATAAGGCGTGGTTATATACTTTATTTTTGTTTAGTTTTTAAATTTTTTTCTCAAAATTGATTTGTACGGGTATTAACTTTCCAATATAATTTTCATTTCTAAAAAAACATCATACCTCTCGTCAGCTAGATTATAATGTGCTGAAAAACATTGTATAAATTCAATGATTGGTTATATCATAGTTATTAATAGAATAGATGGTTTGGAAACTCCTTAGAATAACAATGTAACTCATTATCTATGTTAGTCAAAGTTTATTTACAAATCTAGTCGTTCAACGTCACGTGTGCATTGTATTTTTGCCAAATCCACCAACTAGCAATTTCCAATTTACCCTATTGTTCGAGTCACGCGGATACAGGTAACTTTCCTAAAACATTGCTATTGGTTAGTTGGGCATAAATACAATACGCACGTGACGGTGAACGACCAGATTTGGGAATAAACGTTGACTAACATAGATAATGAGTTATATTGTTATTCTAATGAGTTTCCAAACCATCTCTTCTATTAACTATGGTTATATATGGTTATATACAAATGCGAATATTATATAAAATGCAATCAAGTGAGCTTTTAGCCAGGATATAAATAGCGGCCTGTTGATCATTTAGAGAGATGTGGGGGAAAATTTAACCTACTTGCCCAAGCTGTCATGTTTAGAATATTTGACCACACGGTTTTAAACTGTTTGATCTGACAGGCTTAATTACACAGTAATTATACAGTATATTTGTCATATCACGGGTTCATGATAAAAACACACCATAGCTCATTTAAGGCAAAGATATACTTGGGGGGGGGGGGGTTGACAAAAACTGCCAATAGTTGACCAAATATAAAAGAAGAAAAAATGTAAAAGCATTGTTGCTTTTGGACTGTGTATCCGTTTAAAAAGTGTTGCTAATGATAGGCCATCTGGCTAAAAGCTTTGATTAAATAAATTAATTAAATATACATGTGCGTGACAAGTGTAAATAAATGAAATAAGGATAGTCCAGATGCTAGATCAGTGAGTCACTCAATGTGAGGTAGCTCGGCGGTCTGTCGGACACCTCCGCTCCCGGCTCGTGGACCTCCTGAATTGAAAAATATCCATGTTATTTTTGGAGAAAGTGAAATTATTGACGGTCTTACAGAAATTGTTGCTGTAAAGTTTGGAAATGAGGCGCATTTCATGCCCTTTACGGCTATCATTGCTTCTAGAAATGAGATAGAGGACTCGAATTTCCATATCTGAAACACTGTGATTGTCAGTGTTAAAATGTCTGCCAACATAATTCTTAATGACTGCGGGCCGATGCTAACTAGCCTGTTGGTAGACATTTTAATACTAGCAATCACAGTGCTTCAGATAAGGAAATTCGAGCCCTCTGTCCCAATGGCAGCCGCAAAAGACATGAAATGCGCCTCACTTCCAAACTTGGCACTGTCCATGCACCTCTATGGCATTAATGAACGTTTTTCCTATGTTTAACCCAATCTGTCTTTGCTTGTCATAAGCAGACATTGACAGTACTTTAAACTCTTATCTTATTCCATACTTTTCATTAATGTGATTTACATTATTTTTTGTTCACACTATTTTAACTAAATCCATTTAATTGGTGTATTTTTTGCCTTGTGATCGCTTTTATATTCACTCATGTAATTTTCCCGACTCCCGCTAAGGGACTTGTATTTAAAGTTCTTCTTGTATTTTTCTGGTAGTTGCATCCCCATATCATTCCGAATTTTTTAAAAATTATTACGGTCTAGTCTAACGGTGCTGTAAGTACCCTCACCAATAAAAGATTACACTTACTGGACCTCTAGGGAGGACAGTTTAGAAATGGTTGGTTGCAGTACAAATAAAGTTACTTTAAAATCGTATTCCCTTTTGTGCAAAAGCTAGATTTGATTGCATGTATTGGACGGCCTTCATTTAGCTCACAAAATAGGGGAAAAAATGAAATCTACACTATGGATTTGCGATTACATCACTTAAGTTGGAGTTCGTGAGCAACAAAATTGCTGCAACTTGCAACAAAATCTGATTTCAACGCATGTTAATTGAAAATGTTTACACATAAATTACAAATCACAAGGCAACATGTGTCGACATTTCTACTTAACATGCGTTGAAATCAGATTTTGTTGCAAGTTGCAGCAATTTTGTTGCTCGTGTAACTCCACCTTTAATCCATAGTATATCCACATTATTTCCATACTATGGTATGGAAATTGGAAATAGTATAAAAATAGGATTTCCCTACTATTTCGAGTATTTCCATAGAAAGGACTTTGAAAAAAAATTTCCATTGAAGATGAGTGATCTTACCTGTAGAATGTTGGGTTTCCACTGGAGCAGCATTCCCAGGAGTCACTGGGCGCCCCATATCGTTTCCAACAGATCCCTGGTAGCCAGTATTCTGAGCACACGTAGTGCTTCCTCGGATGTTTTGATCGGACACCTTCGTCTGCTTGGCAAGATGGCGTCGGAACAAGACCGCGACAATAATGATGACAATCAAGAGAACGCCAAACACGACACCGAGGATTATGGGTAATTTGCTTTCATCCTCCTCAGATATTGTGGTTACAGTGCCTTCATCCGGGGATACGCCAGTCATTGTTTTGTATTCGTACGTCATCGAACCATTGCGAGCTGGGGGTTAAAAAAATACACAATTTTAATCAACTGAACGGACAATTATTAAAATATGAATGCTAGACATCCTAAAACGATCCGATGTTGTATAAAAATTGTAAAGGCAGATTTACACTCCACACGTTTTGCCTAAAACTGTCGCATGCAACCTGCTTACAACTTGAGTTGTACTGTGTGAATCAAGCACACAACTCACCACGTTAAAATCTCACAACTTATCAACAAGATGTGTTCGCAACAGCAAGTCTTTTGAGCTCAACAACCTTGTAGCAAGCTTGTCAACAAGTTGTAACAATGCTGTTGTTTTATCAAGTTGCTACAAGGTCGTCACTCACAACTTGTTGACAAATTGTTGAATTGCAGGACGATAACAAGTTGTCGGAACTGAACAACTTGTAACAAGTCTGTTGAGCTCAACAACCTTATAGCAAGTTGCCAACAAGCCGTTGACAACTTGTCAACAAGCTGGGAACTGTAACAATGCTGTTGTTTTATCAAGTTGCTACAAGGTCGTCACTCACAACTTGTTGACAAATTGTTGAATTGCAGGACGATAACAAGTTGTCGGAACAACTTGTAACAAGTCTGTTGAGCTCAACAACCTTATAGCAAGTTGCCAACAAGCCGTTGACAACTTGTCAACAAGCTGGGAACAAGCAGTGCGAACACATCCTGTTGACAAGTTGTTGGAATAGAATTACTACAAATCTGCTGCAGGTTTGTTACAAGTTGGTTTTATTATCGTGTAGCAAGCCGTGATCAAAATATGGCAATTATCAGAGTGAAAAATTATGTTAATTCATTGTATGCAAAAGTCATTTATCTGGAGTATAATAAAGAGAACTGAGAGATTTCTCAGAAAACAATAGACATTCCCTACCTGTATATTCTTGACCGTTGAGCATGACTGTAAACTGTTGTTTGTTGACAGCCAACATTAGTTGAGTCAGGGAGTAATTAAGAGAGGTACTGGGATCTAGAAAATTCAATTTGAATAATAATCAGCGTATTGCAGGAATGAAATCCTCCAGGAAGAAACGTTTTCAACTATTTTCTTCTTTTTTTAGAGCTATCCAGTGTAATAAAATTTAGTTTAGATTTCCTCCTGTGGTACCACTGGATCAATAAGAAATGATCCTTACTGGACCTCTAGGAAGAACAGTTTAGAACTGATAGAGCTATCCAGTATAAATAAAGTTAGTTTAGTTTAGGTTTCCTCCTGTAGTAACACTGGATCAATAAGGGATGATCCTTACTGGACCTAGAAAGAGCAGTTTAGAACTGATAGAGCTATCCAGTATATATAAAGTTGACATGACTCTCACTAGACCTGTAGAATAGTTTAGAACTGACAGTGCTATTTAGTATAAAGTTAGTTAATTAATTAAGTTAAGGTTTAGTTTAGGTTTCCTCCTGTAGTAACACTGGATCAATAAGGGATGATCCTTACTGGACCTAGAAAGAGCAGTTTAGAACTGATAGAGCTATCCAGTATATATAAAGTTGCATGACTCTCACTAGACCTGTAGAATAGTTTAGAACTGACAGTGCTATTTAGTATAAAGTTAGTTAATTAATTAAGTTAAGTTGACAACAGACTTACTTTGTTCAGGAGCAAGCAAGATAAAGTTGACAACAATACTGCCCGGAGAAATGGTAACATTCAGGATCATTGATGGATCAACTTCCATCGTATCAGCCAGTTTCTGTTCAACCACGTTAATAAACTGTATCTTGGTTTCTGAATCAGTTATCACTGTGTTGTAGTCCAAGTCAAACGACAACTCAGCCGTAGCAACATGGTTTTCTACACAATGCAAACATTTATATCAATTATTGTGTTGTTGTCTTGTTTGCAGTTTCATTTATGAGTAAAAAGCCGGTGTTGTTTGACAAAATCAAACTGGGTGTACAAATAAAATTATAATCAGACAATTCGAACGCTGTGCCTCTGTGTCAGGGTATAGTAGTGTAATGCAATAACATCAGAAAGCTAGGTAATACGAGGGATTCAAGTGCCTGAAAAATACAAGTGAAAATTCGATGTTTCCAGGGAAGGCCTTCGCTATTTTACTTTTACGTCGGAATTTTACTTGTATTTGTATAGATAATAGTATGGCTTCGGGTGCAATTTGTGGAAAATAATATGCACGAGTGAGTTTTTCAAAGACGACCAAAATTGCACGAGTCCGAAGTACTCGAGTGCATTTGAAGTCTTTGAAAAATTCACGAGTGCATGTTTTTCTAAAAGCACTCATATGCGTGCGTAGGTCACATGCGAAATAGTTTATTTATTTATTTATTCATTTATTGTGCTTCGCTTCCGAACATCATACAATAATTGCATTAAAGAAGCTGGGACACCACAACAGCTTAACACCAGTTACAGTGGGCCCTTTACAAAATATCAATATAAATATAGAAAACAGAAATAATTAACAATTTTTCGCCGAAGGCTAGGTGATTATTGGTGAGTAGGGACAGAGACAATGTCGAAGTTTTCATTTAACAATAACCATCGAGCCTGAGGCGAATAATAGTTTTAGTATCATTTCATAGATGATTATCTGTGGGGGAAAAAATACACATTTCTTCGTCATTTAATAGTCAAAACGGCTTCGGCCGACGGCCGCCATAATATTTCGAAAATTGCTTAGGTGATTATCGCGTTATAATCACCTCAACGGCAACCAATCAGCGTGGAAAATTTTCAATAATCACCTATGTAATTATACTTAGTATACTTAAGGTACGTTTACACACCGCGATCCGCCGTGTACGACTCGTATTTGACGAATCCAATCGAAATAGATTAAAAACAATAATATAAATCATTTTAATAGAAATAATAATAGAAATAATAATATAAATCATAATAATATAAATCATTTTAATAACATAAAAATAATAATAATAAATATAAATCATAATAATAATAAATCATAATATAATATAAATCATTTTAATAATAATATAAATAATTTTAATATAAATCATTTTAATAGAAAATCTACTAAAAACGCCAGCCATTTTTGTCATTTGTAAATGTTTGTTTTTTTTGTATTATTTTCTGCTAGAAAGGGCTGTATCTTACAGTCAATGAAATCTGCATTTTGTTTCATTTTTTGGCACTGGTTTTCGAAAAAATTGCACCGCTCTTATAGCCAATCGGAATTGAGAAATTTTTCATGTATATTAAAAGTAGTTTCAAAACCTTGAAAATCGTTTTGGCATTCCACTCAAAACTTATTTTGTGTTTTCGCTTTATATTGTAGGTTACACAGTCAGCAACCTTTTTAAATGGATCTTGCGGTTGAGAAACACAAAATAATAGTTAAATATTGTCAATTTCAATACAATTATGAATTATCATTGATGTTGAAAAATTGACGCCATATTTATACAGCATGCAATATAAGCAAAACTTTACTGAACTTCAGACATCATTTTCTCTTTGGCGTACCATATAAAATCTCTTCATTTTAGCATTATTTCACAGACAAAGCACTAAACATACTTTTTAAGTTTGATTGCCGCTTGAGAAGCGTATCAAAAATTGAAAAATTTGAATATAGTCATGAAAAAGCATATTCATTATTTAGTTTTGAGCGTCTGTTACTTAACAAATAAAATATTCTCCTCTTAACGATTTTAAAACATCTCACAGTATGTTTTCGACATACTTTTCGGGACCATTATAATACAGTCTTTCTCATATATACCTTTGCCTTTAGTCGTGCTCATTCCGCCCGTAGTGGCCGTGGTGGTCGGCGCTGACTGGGCCTGGGTAGTACCCTCCGTTGATGTCTGAGTATTAAATTGTACATCATCGTCACTCTCGTGTACTGTGATGTAGCCAAGTTTTGTACAGTTACATTCAACATACACCACGCTGTCTCTGGTGAAGGCTTGAGTTTTCTGGCAACCTGATGCCGACCACTGCTCTTCTGATTCGCTCCAGAGCATACACTGAAATTAGAGAATCATGAAGCTCAATTTTCATAATCATAACAGCTTAGTTCAATGAACACAATCTAACGTCACAGATGTACAAATCCCACTTGTCAACAAGATGTGTTCGCAACAGCCTTGTAGCAAGCTTGTTAACAGGTTGTAACAATGCTACAAGTTGTTGGAACAACTTTTATAAAATTACATGTATAGAACGCGTGCTCTGATTGGTCGAAACCCGTGTTTGGATCAGGCCATCCAAACACGGATATTTAACACGGAAAGTTGTTATTTTATAAAACAATTGGTTTATAGTTTCCGTGTATGGATGGCCTGATCCAAACTCTTGGGAATGTTGCTCGAGTTAAGAAAAGCGCGCGAAACATTCCCGCGTGTTTGGATCAGGCCATCCAAACACGGAAACCATAAAGTAATTGTATAGTAACAAGTATTGAAACAGTTGGCGCGCATTTCGCAAGATGAATTTTGTAAGCTAACTGACTGTCTCCGAAAATGGTTTCCGTTTTGGGAACCGAAACGTCAGACAAAATAAAACTATTAATTAAATGTAAAAAATTCTGGATGAACTCAAAAATAACAACCATTTCAAGAATTAAACACTTGGTAAGTATTTCTGTTCCACACAGCTCCATGGAAGAATATTGTGGACGAATTCTGTGTTTAAATAAAGTTTTAATAATAATAATAAATAATAAATAATAAATAATAATAATAAATAATACTCAGGCTTACCTTATGTCCTGACGTTTGAGAATACCCAGCATGCAATGGGATATGGAAGAATGCGGGCTGCGTCAGACTGGAGATTGGGACATGGTCTTGATTCTCGGGATTCTTCAACTCAACATACACGACATCACTGAGACGGATAGGAGACGTCACTGCTGTGATATAATCATGGGGGTACTGCGCCATGGCTATACATAAACCATTGCATAATTCATCGTCGCCCGAACAATTCCATTCGTTGTACATTTGTTTTATCTAGAGATAAAAAAAGTTGTTCATAATAATGGTTTGCAGTCAATCCCATTTTGAGTGTGAATTTATACATTTCAACATCTAACCAGGAACAGTTGGAAATAAGGAAATTAAGACCCGGAAAATCCAAGAATATTCAAATCAGTGAGCGTTAAGTGCCACATACAACTCGGTCCCTTTATAGCCTATCAGTGAGGTCATATTGTTATTGTTGTTGACAATCACATAGCCTAGGGAAAGTGTTTATCATCATGTACATTTATTTCATGTAGAATTATGTATGGCCCCCATTATTGGAGATTGCCTCTGTGGTCAGCCCCTGCCTGTGTTGTATGTAAACTTGTCTAGTCTAATTTATGTCTGCATGTTATAGTTGGCGAATCTTGTAAATAGCTAGTAAATAAATAAAGTCCATGTATATATAGTTAGTCCTTTCTGAATCCTTTATTTCATTGCGATAGCTTTTATAGCTTTTACCAGTGGCGTAACTACTATGGGCTCAGACCGGGTAAACCCGGGGGCCCCCAACCCAAATGGGGGCCCTCAGGCTTAAGCGATAGGGCAAAAACATTGGCCAGGGCCTCTGATATGTTACAATGTCTTTTATGACCATCAGAATTCTGTAAAATCTCTCCCCAAAGTCCAGGAAATGGCATTTCAGAGAGTCTAGATTAAAAAATTTTCCGGATGAGCATGCCCTGAATCCCCTAGAAAACTCGTGCATATACGGCGCTCGACTCGTGCCTTTGGCACTTACACTAGGGGGGCGTTCGAAAATTTTGAACCGGGGGCCCCTTGATATAACGTTACGCCACTGGCTTTTACGTTACATGAAATCAAACAATGTCTAGTTTTTTTCGGACACCCAGTATAATTATTGAATGGTTTTGTTTATGGGAGTTTCAAGTGATATTTAACGATACAGCATAGAATTATAAATTCTGCAATACATTATTACCTCACTTCCAAATTTGGCCAACGCACTGTGGTTTAACATTGAACAGTTGCTACACGAGACATTCAGAAAGGTCGTATCAACATTATCCAAGTAGTTCATGTCTGCTTTGAGGATACCCAGGTTAGACAAGGCTACAGAGGTTTCGCCTAGTGGAAGACCTTTGCACATGTTGATCAAAACACTGTCTACTGTTTGCAAGAAGTTTGCAGTGTTGTTGTTTACGACTGTTGTATCAATTAGGTTTTCAAATGTTGCCAAGATGTCTTCGATCTGAAAATAAATTCTATCCATATCGCGGATTTCTATCAACATCGCGGACCGGATGGGTGGCAGAAATATGCAACTGTTTCAGGTTAGGATCAAAACAAAATTTTTCTATTTTAGGGTCATCTCTTATTGATCCAGTGTTACTACAGGAGGGAACCTAAACTAAACTAACTTTATTTATTGTCAAATTTGAACCACTGTGTTCGTAAGCTGTTTTCTATGAATTCTTCACATTAGAGGTCCTTATTGATCCAATGTTACTGCAGGAGGAAACCTAAACTAAACTAACTTTCTTTATACTGGATAGCTCTATTAGTTCTAAACTGTTCTTCCTAGAAGTCCAGTAAGATCATCTCTTATTGACCCAGTGTTACTACAGGAGGGAACCTAAACTAACTTTATTTATACTGGATAATTCTACAGTTCTAAACTGTTCTATCTAGAGGTCCAGTAAGGATCATCTCTTATTGATCCAGTGTTACTACAAGAGGGAACCTAAACTAAACTAACTTTATTTATACCAGATAGCTCGCTATCTGTTCTAAACTGTTCTCCCTTGAGGTCCAGTAAGGATCATCTCATACAGTGTTACTACAGGAGGAAATACAAACTAACTTTATTTATACTGGTTAGCTTTCATGCATTTTAGACAGGTTTTATGGCAATCTGAAAGTCACAGATTTGGTATGTTTTTATGTCATGAATGAAAACATTAAGAGGTCACACGCCCCCAACCTCACCTCCCCTCCAATTGAACCTACCTCGCTAACAGACATTCCACTCTCATCATCATCATCTGTGTCTTCTTCAATAGCACGTCTTCGCCTCTTACGCGACTCTCCACCACCCCCCTGAACGTCACTTCGGCGTCGTACTGAGTCGGGCACAGTGTCTTCGACCGCCAACGTCACTTCATCGACTAACGCTGTCTTTGTTTCCTCGGTCTGAGGTTTAAACTTTCTTGCCAAGGCAAAGAGATCTCCCACATCACCAGAGCCCTCCTCGCGTTTCGATGCTAGGAGACTGGTTATCACTATGCTTGTCTCTTCTTCAAGTTGGCTCACTTCCTCTATAGAAATAGAATTTCCTGTTTTAGCAAATCTGAGTATTTCGTTGAATTTAAACTAAGGTAGCTCTGGTTATTCTTCTAATTAATTTTATTTATACTGGATAGCTCTATCAGTTCTAAACTGTTCTTCCTAGAAATCCAGTAAGGATATCTCTTATTGATCCAATGTTATTACAGGAGGAAACCTATAAACTAAACTAACTTTATTTATACTGGATAGCTCTATCATAAACTAAGCTAATTAATTTTATTTATACTGGATAGCTCTATCAGTTCTAAACTGTTCTTCCTAGAAATCCAGTAAGGATATCTCTTATTGATCCAATGTTATTACAGGAGGAAACCTATAAACTAAACTAACTTTATTTATACTGGATAGCTCTATCAGTTCTAAACTGTTCTTCCTAGAAATCCAGTAAGGATATCTCTTATTGATCCAATGTTATTACAGGAGGAAACCTATAAACTAAACTAACTTTATTTATACTGGATAATTCTATCAGTTCTAAACTGTTCTTCCTAGAGGTCCAGTAAGGATCATCTCTTATTGATCCAGTGTTACTACAGGAGGAAACCTAAACTAAACTAACTTTATTTATACTGGATAGCTCTATCAGTTCTAAACTGTTCTTGCTAGAGGTCCAGTAAGGATAATCTCTTATTGATCCAGTGTTACTACAAAAGAAACCTGGATAGCTCTATCAGTTCTATCAGCCCTGTTGGTTCAGTAAGGATAATTTTCGAAAAATAAACTTACCTTCTAAGCCTTCTTGGTTCTGAAAAACAAAAGTTGATTAATAGGACAAATAAATAGGGGACCAGAACGCAGACAGGAAAACAAATCAGTACAGTGGTAAATAGGTTTAACAGTTCAATTTCACTGAGGGAGGGGTCATTAAATATGGCTGGTGTAAGAAAAATATGTTGGGTAAGAAAAATTTATTATCATTTCCAAAGTATAACTCACTCAAATAATGGAGACTAAAAAGCAATGTCAACAGTCATATTTCAATAGAATATGTAAATCAATCAGAGTCATTATATCACTTGAGTCATTTTTCATCCAGTATGGAGAAAAATGAGCAAATACGAGTCCGATAAATAGTGTTTGTGTATAAATGAAATCACCTTGGCACTGGAGAGGACACTATGCGCCAACGCGACACGCCCTGCTTCATCCCCTTGATCTTCCAGATCTTTCATCTTGCTGTCTATATCATCAAAGTCTTCCGCCTGGAACTGTTTAGGCCTGGACCTGACTTTAGCCGCAGCTTTGGTTTCCCCAAATTTATTCTTAGCCACTGCAACAACATCAATGTCACCATCATCGCCTTCTCCTGCCGGTAGCTGCAACTCCAGTGACGCATCTGAGTTCGACTCTATTTCATAAAGGATAGAAAAGTAAGGTTTCACTAGGCGCTCTGACAAATTTTGATCTAGGCAAGAAGAACAAAATCGATCACCACAGCTAGAAAGAGCATGTTAAAATTAGTAAAATTGCAAAGTTTGGTTGCGAAATGTTGTAAAATGAGGAAAATATCGCCGTGCAAAATGTGCAAATTTTGTATTAATTTATATTACGCGCGGGATTAGGGCTATATTTTCCTCATTTTACAACATTTCGCAACCAAACTTTGCATTTTTACTAATTTTAACATGCTCTTTCTAGTTGTGGTGATAGATTTTGTTCTTCTTGCCGAGATCAAAATTTAGTCTGCAGCTGGAATCAACCATTCTCTTCATATATAACGAAGGGGTTGTTTGCCAGGACGGGATATGAGGTAGGATGCATGGTTTCGATGTATTGAAATAAGCCACGGTGCACGATTCAGTAAAATTACATTATTTTTCTAGAGATGGATTATGGTATAATTGGAAACGGAAGGTTATTCAAGCAGCAATAATAATCTTCTTTAGTGATGCACCGATATCCATGCTGGTGTATCGGTATCGACTTATCGGTATACTAAAATAGAAATATCGGTATCGGTAATTTTGTTGTTGATATTACCGATATTACAAACTGTTATTAAATATTAACGATTGGTTATAGTAGCAGTTCAATAGTTATTTTTATTACAAACAAACAGTCACTACAACGCAGTAATATACTAGTTTGTTGCATGTATTTGCAGCATTTCATTTGAAATTTTCAGTATTTAGAAACAAATGAATTAAATTCAAAAGTATTAAAGTGAAATGACATAGAATATGGGCAAAATATTGGTCCAAAATATTGAACTTCCATGTCGGCGCATCACCAATCGTCTTGAACAATGAGATCTTCTCGACAACATTTGAGTTCTTTCAAACGGCGTTTGAAGTTCGTTTAAACCCAGTGATTTATTTCAATACATCAAAATGATCGCTTACCGAGTAAGGTGAGTCTATCTCTCTTGTCCTTTGTGTAGTAATCGATGCTGATGGGTGAATCACTGATGAATTCTGACGCGACAATACTGAATTGAGTTTCTGATGAAACGCCCTCGGCAGGCTCCACCGCCAGTGCACCTGGAACAATAAATATCGTTTAGTTTTTCACCATTTACACAAAAAGGGCTTCAGGTAAGACAGGATTTGGGGTATCGAACCTGCGGCTCTGCGATTCCGGTGCAGTAACCAACTGAGCTACAGAGAAACAGTTGTCAAGCTCTAACTAACTGAGCTACAGAGAGACAGTTGTCGAGCTCTAACTAACTGAGCTACAGAGGCCAGTTGTCGAGCTCTAACCAACTGAGCTACAGAGAGACAGTTGTCAAGCTCTAACCAACTGAGCTATAGAGAGACAGTTGTCGAGCTATAACCAACTGAGCTATAGAGAGACAGTTGTCGAGCTCTAACCAACTGAGCTACAAAGAGACAGTTGTCGAGCTCTAACCAACTGAGCCACAGAGAGACAGTTGTCAAGCTCTAACCAACTGAGCTACAGAGAGACAGTTGTCAAGCTCTAACCAACTGAGCTACAGAGAGACAGTTGTCGAGCTATAACCAACTGAGCTATAGAGAGACAGTTGTCGAGCTCTAACCAACTGAGCTACAAAGAGACAGTTGTCGAGCTCTAACCAACTGAGCTACAGAGAGACAGTTATTGAGCTCTAACCACAAGTTCATGTGCATACTGAGCTACAGAGAGACAGTTTTGAGCTCTAACCATCTGAGCTACAGAGAGACAGTTATTGAGCTCTAACCACAAGTTCATGTGCATATATATACTATGCCATGAATACATATACAGTAAGTAGACTAATTATAAAGATCCGTAGATCGTATTCACGGCAACAAACTGAGCTACAAAGAGACAGTTGTCGAGCTCTAACCAACTGAGCTACAGAGAGACAGTTATTGAGCTCTAACCACAAGTTCATGTGCATATATATACTATGCCATGAATACATATACAGTAAGTAGACTAATTATAAAGATCCGTAGATCGTATTCACGGCAACAAACAAACACAAAAACAAACAAACAAACAAAACAACACACACACACACACACACACACACACACACACACACACACACACAAACAAACACAAACACAAACAAACAAACTTACCTCCTTCCGGAGGTGACTCAACAGTGAATGTCGTCGTACTCTCTCCAATTTCGTCAGGAGTGTCATCATGATAGGCATAACATCTCACTTTATATTCCACACCAGATCGTAAACCTTTGAATGTGAATCTTAGTCTTCTTTGGTTGAATTTCATTCCTTCACCACTAAATTCACCCGTTACTTTGTCCTTGTCATCAAAATCAACGTAACCATATCCTGTGGAAAATAATATACTGATTATCAAACGTGATCGTCCAGTCCTTAGTATTCTACAATAAGCTGTCGCGGTTTGTGTCTGAACTACCTGAAAAAGATATCTCAAACGTGGTGGTCCAGTGTAGGTAGTATTCTACAATAAGCTGTAGTGGTTTGTGTCTGAACTACCTGAAAAAGATATCTCAAACGTTGTGGTCCAGTGTAGGTAGTATTCTACAATAACCCTTCGCGGTTTGTGTCTGAACTACCTGAAAAAGATATCTCAAACGTTGTGGTCCAGTGTAGGTAGTATTCTACAATAAAGACCTTTCTCGTATGCCGAATGACTGCTCCAGACATATATAGAGCTCAAATACTAACCCTCCTCGACCACGCCTTCACAGTTGAACGATGTGGTACCACTCGTGGATGACCTGTAGTGGTTTGTGTCTGAACTACCTGAAAAAGATATCTCAAACGTTGTGGTCCAGTGTAGGTAGTATTCTACAATAAACTTTTCTCGTATGCCGAATGACTGCTCCAGACATATATAGAGCTCAAATACTAACCCTCCTCGACCACGCCTTCACAGTTGAACGATGTGGTACCACTCGTGGATGACTTAATACGAACACGGACCACAGGCTTAACACCATCCTTGGGTTTCTTAATTTGCACTGTGGGAGGAGTCCCTGGGGAAATCTTCACTCTGACTGACGCTGTAACGTTCTGTGTGCCTTTGAACACTCCAAGCGTAAACGTGTAGCTAAAAATAGAAATACGAGTTTTCATCACTGGTGCCGGTTCAAAGCTGGATAGCGCCAACCCTGGGTTACAATTGAACCTGCTGTTTTAGTTTATGTATTTCTGCACGTCTGTTTATTTCAAAACTTCAGAGATGAAAGCTCTGATCTGATTCAGACAAGGTTTCCAAAGAAATATTTTCAAATTTATAAACACGCTGGTGGGATGTTTGCTTTGATTTTTAGGTGAACCTGGGGTTAAGCTAACCCAGCTTTGAACGACAGGGGTGGCGACCAAATATTTGCCAAATAGAAACCTCGCGGTGACTGAGAAAAAAAATTAAAATAATAAAGTCATTCTTTTAAAGTCTTAAAATATTTCAGTGATCAAGTATTACATTCTGTTTTTGCACATAATTTGCCAACATATTAAACACCTGTTTTTATATTATCAAAATACAAAGATATATTATGTATGTACATCGGTTTATATATCCGATATAACACAGACGCGAATGTCGCAAATGGCTTGTGGTTTAAACGTCTTAATGAGAACATTCGTATTCTTCAACAACTTGAAATAAATTAATGATATTTGATAAGAAAATTGAACTTAAAGTTCATGTAAATCAACTTGATTTTGTATCAGATATACAAACTCCTTCGCCTTATTGAGTTTCACAATTATTAATACACATTGATATATGACCTGATGTTAAATTTAGCGACCATTTCAAACCGTGTATAAAATATATTCTTACGTTTTGTTGGATTCAAATCTGTTAGCTTTAATCCTGAGTTCAGGACTTTCGCTGTCAGGCAAGTCGTCAAATTCTCCCTCTTTATTTTTGACCAGGCATGGCCAATCATCTTCGTCGACACACGAGAAAAGATACTTCAATTCTCCGCCACAAGTAACTTTAGATGTCGCTCTGAAAAAATAGACACATTTCTTAAAAATATGATTTGTTCCGATCACTGGATTATGACTGTATGGCATGGAGAACAGAGAGATTTTCAAAACAATGAAAAGACAATGGAACATTCTGATCACTGAATCATGAATGGATGACATGGAGAACAGTGAGATTTTCAAAACAATGAAAAGACAATGGAACATTCTGATCACTGGATCATGACTGGATGGCATGGAGAACAGTGAGATTTTCAAAACAATGAAAAGACAATGGAACATTCTGATCACTGGATCATGACTGGATGGCATAGAGAACAGTGAGATTTTCAAAACAATGAAAAGACAATGCAACATTCTGATCACTGGGTCATGACTGGATGGCATGGAGAACAGTGGGATTTTAAAACAATGAAAAGACAATGGAACATTCTGATCACTGTATCATGGAGAACAGGAGAACATGAACAGTGGGATTTTAAAAACAATGAAAAGACAATGGAACATTCTGATCACTGGACCATGACTGGATGGCATGGAGAACAGTGGGATTTTAAAACAATGAAAAGACAATGGAACATTCTGATCACTGGATGGCATGGAAAACAGTGGGATTTTCAAAAACAATGGAACATTTTGATCACTGAATCAGAACTGGATAAAGACAATGGAACATTCTGATCACTGGGTCATGACTGGATGG